CTGACAAGTGGCCTGGGCCTATCCACCAGGCTTCACCACGAAAGTGTCGTGGTGCCCCTTGGGTAGCTGACTCTCCAGGCACCAGAATATCATTTATACTTCCGAAACCTGTTTATCTTTCCTCAACTATAGCGGCTTCGTTTGCATTTATTGAATAGTGTATGAGCTCCGACTCGCAACGGGGGTGTTTATAACAATAATAACATTGTGCTTTGAGGTATCCAAGGTCGCAAACTGTTAAGCATATGTAGATAAAGCCTCCATGATTAAGGAAAGATGTACAGGTTTCGTAAGTGGTAAGTGATTCCCGGCCCAAGATTCTATTGCCAAAGCAATTTGGTGAAGAGGAAAGGGGAACCCTTGAAGGGTGCCTGTTGTGTAGGGGGGAGACAAACATGAGGTGGTTGTTGTTGTTGTTTAAGAGTCAGCTCCTGGGAACAAAAAGTTCCAAGTAGCACGGGCTATGGTGAGCCCGTAGAGGACTTATCTGGCAAAGGAACGGGACCGTAACTTTGCAGACTAGGGGAAATTCTTCCTGTTTTGGAGGGCCAAGAGGAGCCCTGGAGAGGTGAGTAAAGAGGTGAGTAACGAGATTTATAGCGCCAAGGTTACCTGCCAAAGAGGCACGGGGAGTCCTTTAGTGGTTCCTCTGCAGCAGGAGAGTGAAGCTACCGGTGCCACGACTACCTACTTACAGCTGTGAAACTAGTTAGATTGTCACTTGCTTAGCTAAACGAACTGTGGGGTTGAGTTCCTGAACCGACTATGTGCCTCTGTAACCCTTCTCACCACCGCCCACGGGACTGGTATGGGGTGCATAATAAAGAAATAAATTGAAATTACAGGTGTGGTGTAGCTCCAGATCCTCACAGTGGCTCGTGGTACCAGTGTTGACAGCCGACATACGCAGTCAATTCAATAATTCTAACTCCTTGAAAATTAAATACGAAATGCACAAAGCAGTCCTTCACGGACGTCGCTGACCGCTCCAAGCAGCGTCATATAAGACTGCGATTCTTGCTTTGTGTAATGTAATGTGTATAAATTATAATGTGATATATTGTACCATGTGGTACAATTTTACAAATACAAGATACAGAAATATATTAATTCAACGAACATATTTGAAATAAAATGAAAATGATGACGTTTGCTCCCGTCCTGAACCCTTATGTGACGACGTCTCGGTCCGTCCTGGACCCTTATGTGATGACGTCTCGGTCCGTCCTAGACCCTTATGTGACGACGTTTCGGTCCGTCCTGGACCCTTATGTGACGACATCTCGGTCCGTCCTGGACCCTTATGTGACGACGTCTCGGTCCGTCCTGGACCCTTATCAGTAAGGACTGGATAAGGTTCCAGGACGGACTGAAACGTCATCACTTCCATTTCAAATGTGACCATTTGGTTAGTTATTTCCTGCCACGTTGAGGCTTAGTTTGCGTTGGGTTTAATGGCAGTCAACCTCTGGAGAGTCATCAAGTCCACCACGATGGCTCACTGACCAGGCAGCAGGAACACCTTAGCCCTGAGCATGGTCCAGCACTGAGGTTAGCTCTCAGTGTACATACAGAGAAGCGAGGTACACTTCTCTGTGTACAAGTTGTGTGCCTTACTCGCTGCGTAAATACCATAGCGATGATGACCAAGCTACACATTGGAAAGTGAAGAAACGTCGTCGTTTCTTCATTTTCTGATGTGTGGTTTGGCCATCATATCTTCAACCACGTTATTGTGATCCATCGTCTCCCATAGCGAAGGTGGCGTGAATCTTCTCCGGTTTAATCCATCTCCATCAGAGCGTACAATGTATTTCTCACCACACACATTCTCACTTGTACGAGTGAGATGCTGACTCCAACACCCAACCAATCACATCTCTCCACATTGCATCCTTGATAACCTAAAGATGATCAAGCTGCTTCTCCGTGCCCATCAGAATGATTCCCGTCTCTCACTCATCTCCCAAGTACCGTGCGTGATATAATTGCAACGTCTCCCCGGGTCTTCCTAGCGCCAAAGTCAATATTTAAATTTCTCATGTCAAGGAAGCCGTCGCCTCCACGAATAACATTTCCCAGCCCTCGTTGAGAATCAACGTCTCTGCTCGCGCTCCGAGCGGCCGCCTTGGTGCATAATGAAGGATGTTGATCCCGAGTTTCTGGCCGAGGTGCTACAAACGCTTCTCTTGCCCTGTTAGATGTCTTGACGCGCACTGAACCGGTGGGGGGAGTGACAGGAGTGTTGGTGGGGCTGACAGGAGGAGTGGTGGAGGGGCTGACAGGAATGGTGGTGGGGCTGACAGGAGGAGTGGTGGGGATGGCAGGAGGAGTGGTGCTGGAGGGGCTGACAGGAGGAGTGGTGTTGGAGGGGCTGAAAGGAGGAGTGGTGTTGGAGGGACTGACAGGAGCAGTGGTGTTGGAGGGGCTGACAGGAGGAGTGGTGTTGTAGGGGCTGACAGGAGGAGTGGTGTTGGAGGGACTGACAGGAGGAGTGGTGTTGGAGGGACTGACAGGAGGAGTGGTGTTGGAGGGACTGACAGGAGGAGTGGTGTTGGAGGGGCTGACAGGAGGAGTGGTGTTGGAGGGACTGACAGGAGGAGTGGTGTTGGAGGGGCTGACAGGAGGAGTGGTGTTGGAGGGACTGACAGGAGGAGTGGTGTTGGAGGGGCTGACAGGAGGAGTGGTGTTGGAGGGACTGACAGGAAGAGTGGTGGTGGAGGGACTGACAGGAGGAGTGGTGTTGGAGGGACTGACAGGAGGAGTGGTGTTGGAGGGACTGACAGGAGTGGTGAATGAGGGGCAGACA